GCTTTGAAGTTTCTTAGTAGAGGTCATCCCAGGATGTCATTGAAAGCGGACGGACAATCCACTACTAGGAACTCAGTAAGTTTGGTCACCTCGTTGGTGTCACCTAATGTGACCAGGAGTAAGATCGTCCCTTTGGGGATCAAGTGAACCCCGTTGAAACCATATAGAGGGATGGAGGCAGGCTTCATATCGGCCTCATCCAGTTTCATCCTTTTGAAAGCTTGCTGAATAAGATGTTCACGGCGCTTCCATTGTCCACTAGCATTCTGTGAACCTCGCACTGCCCTATTTCAGGCGTGATGACGAGAGCATCGTCGTGGGGATGATGCAATCGTATTGCATCTTTCTCAGAGAAAGTGATTTTCTCCTCTCTGCGAACCTTTACTGGTCGCGGTGTCATGCTCATCACACTTATGGGGTCATGATGGGCTGCGCGAGCATACCTTTCATGGGCACCTCACGAATTCCCTACGAGGTGTGGTCCCCCAAAGATGATCCCTACATTATAGAAACTTTTGCGACCATGACGCTTCTTGCTCGATTCCTCTTGATTTTTCTCCCGAGCGGGAGCAGAATCATCGACATACTCTTTGAAGTGTCCTTGCTCAACGAAGTCTTCAATTGCCTGCTTGAGGGCTCGACACTCATCGGTGTGATGCCCATTATCTCGTTGATAGCGACAGTATTTTTTATTGTTTCTGGCTGTAAAGGGATTTTTCATGGGCTCGGGCTCTCCGAGCAAACCGGCATCTTCTGACTTATTAAGAATAGCCGATACTGAGGCATTCAGAGGCGTGTATTGACTCTTGTCGCGATCGCGATGAGGAACTGGGGCGTATGATTTCTTGGGCTCATATCGCTGCTTCTTTCCTTTTCGCTGATCGTCATTAGCCCAATGGCGATCAACCCTCTGAACCCCCCCCCCCCCCCCCCCCCCCCCCCCGATCGGGAGCACTGCCTGAAGGACCAAGGTTATGGCGGTTGAGCGCCGCCACGGAGTTTTTAATACGGAGGTACTTTTTCATAAGGTTGTAGAAGCGGGTGAAGGAAACATCGTCCTCAGATTGTAGCTCCTTTCACAAATTCGTCTCGAACTCCCACGATAATGAGAGTCCGAACAGACTCTTCGAGAGTGTGAGCTACTTTGTGGGGCTCTTTGTGGAACCTGTCAATATAAGATTAGAGGGGCTCATCCCTCTCTTGCCTTATGTTGCTCAAGTAGCTTAGGGGCATCGAGAACTTCCTGTTCGCCTAGAAGTGTCTTAGAAACGTCGACCTCGCTTGAGGCCACGAGCTGACTGATCCTGTTGGAAGCGACCTTAATCATCGTTTGGCATAGGAGGTAAGAGTTAATGTCAAGTAACGGCATTTTTCCAAGTCAAAGACTTGGTGGAGTTCTATAAGGTTGTTGAACTCGTACAGATGATCCTGCGGATCAGAATTCTCATCGAATGCTTGCATGTTGGGCATTCTGAATCTAGATGGGAAAGGAGCAGCTAATACTATCGGAGAAAATGGACACACCTTTGCGACCTGCCCTTGCTCATTTCGTTGAGCATTTAGCTGATCCAGAGCTCACTGTAGCTCTTCAATCTGAGGCAGCAGAGCTATCTGGGGATCATTTTCCGTAATATGGGTTCGACCCTCACGGTTGCGGTTGAGGAAAGACTATAAGTCAAATTCCTCCTTGCCTCGGCCGGCAGTTCCGGTCAATCTCGACACACGCTGGCTAGAGTCATGTGATGGCATTGAATGGTTCGAGGATCCTTCTCGACCTCCACGGTGGTACGAACCGACCTGCGAACGGTGGGAATATCCCGCACTACGACGATCAAAGTCGTCATTTTGGCGATAATGGGAATCTCCCCGCCCTACACTTTTGTGGGAGTGCTCGTGCGACGTGGCACGGGATGGCTCAGGCTGCGACATGTCACCGAGTCACAATGCCACGGGTATTCTACGCGAGGCATGATCGGTGTTCGCTGGTCCCTCGGAGCCTTTGGGTCCGCTGCACGCCATTTGCTTTCCCTTTCTCTGACTCGCTGCAGTGCGCGTGGTATGGGCTTTTGCCTTTTTTTCGCGTTTTCACGTGACCTACAGGCGTTTTCGGCGGTGGCACTGCCTCATTTGATTTGGGTGGCGCGACCCGATCCAATCGGTCTAGCCTTTGGTTGACCATTTGGAGAGTATTATTGAACCTCTTCAGGTAACTCATGACGGCTGGATCAAGCCGTGAGCTTGAAGGGATATCCCCCACAATATCTTGCTGAGCTGGGGGTACTTCGGGAGAAGTGTCCTCCTGTACCTGGGGGATCTCTTCATTACCATAATTGGTTCGCTCATATTCGAAACCGCAAGTCATTTGCTATAGTGGGACCGATTAGTCAGAAATTCTCTTGATGAAGAACAGGTACTAAATCAGGCCTTCCTTCTAATGTCAAACTATTGATCCTTGATTTTGACACCAACTAATCGCATGTGAGAAATGATAAACGGGCTCAGAAGTCCCACGTGATTATGGAAGTATTTAGCTTAATAAAGGGTGAAGAACAATGTTTAAAGTGGTTCGGATGCTCATAAGGCGAATCATACGTCCACTGATATTGTATTAATGAGTAAAATCAGGTCGCATTCAGTGAGCTGAATTACAGCTTAGAGAATACGAGAGAGAGAGAGAGAGAGAGTGTGTGTGTGTGCTATTCCAGAGTGAAATTAGTCAATCCCACAAATGGGAGAGAAGTCATTTATTTATAATGGGATGAATCAAGGTAATGATTACTAAATCTGCGAGTGGGATAGATGCCGTACAAATCCTTCTCTGCATCCCATTGCTCACCTGCCCGAGTGATTTTCTCGACTTGTGCAGAGATTGGACACGTGGACCTTTTCCAACCATTCGCCAACCTAGCGTACACCCACTATACTAGCAGGAGCATGTCACTCACCTCATCATACGACGTAACTATATCTAAGCAATTGCAAAACCTTCTTAAGCTCTGACCACCTATGCTGACAATTTTAAAACATAGGTGGCTTCTGAAAATGCTTGATAAATTGTAAAGAAATTATTTCTAATAAATGTTAAAGTATATATTTTAAAACGTTGACTCCGTAAATTGGAGTCTTCTTCAGCGTAATAGCCAAAAGATGAATGAATGTCTATCTAAAATCTATGGGTTTGATGTACACATCCTTTACCTTTTAATTAAAATCTATTTATAATAATTTTCGATAATGACACAAAATATAAGATCGATTATGAGGTTTTATCATTCTGGTTGTTTCCTTAGATTAAAAGAAAAAAGTATGAAATGATGATGCTATATCTAAAATATTCCTTTTTTTTTAATATAAATTATCCACTAGATCATTTCTCCCCCACTCTTACGTCTAACTTAACGTGTTCATGATATCAAAAGAAAACCAAGTAAAAGAAGCATTGAGGGCATCGTTTTATCTGTTGCCTCCGTCCTATCCCTTTCTTATTTAATGTCAAATCGAAAGCGTATCAACTACGAACTAAATTTCTAAACAAGGACTTGGCTACAATTTTTTTTTTTTTTTTTTTTTTTATACCAAAGATATCTGGATTAACTTACGCATACCTCAATTAATCTCTTCAAACCCCAAAAATACTGATCAGATACGAGTTTTAGTGATCATCCCTATTAATTTTTTTTTTTTTTTTTTACCAAAGATATCTGGATTAACTTACGCATACCTCAATTAATCTCTTCAAACCCCAAAAATACTGATCAGATACGAGTTTTAGTGATCATCCCTATTAATAATCGTGAGAACTTGACTATAATGTTGATCGCTACTTCATATGTGAAATTTGCAAGCATTAAAACAATAATTGTCATAAATTTACTGTTCTATTATATGAATCATATTACAAATTTACTGGAAATAATACTCCTTTCCTCACTTTCCTTTGTTCTTATAACACTGGTTACCTTCTAGTAACAAAGTCTATTTCAATTTCAAATGAAACAAAAAAATAATAATCAATTTTCTGAAAACCGGATCAAACCGACCGGTCGGACTTGCACTCAAACCGATTCGATCGGTGACCAACGCCCTCTCTAGTTTGGATTACCCTTTTCAGCTGTTCACAAAATCCCCAATGTAGTCATCGACAAACGAGGGACTACTAAGCGTCGTAGTTAGAGGGGTATTGTAGAGTGGAGGTCGATGGTTCAAGGGTGGTGTCGGATTGAATTTTGGACACCTGAATCAGCCGAAATTTGATTAGAAAAATCAACCTAATATGCGAGTCACCGCTGGCGAAGGCGGGGCGACCAAATACTAGGGTTAGATGGGTTTTATGAAGTAGAGTTTGATAGTTCTAGTGGTGGTGTTGGATTGAATTTTGAACGTCGAAATCAGCCAAAAAAATCAACCCAATCGCGACGATATTCACAAGTTCGACCAGCGAACTAAGAGTTACCAAGTTTTGAGGTTAAAGGGGTTTTGTAGAGTGGAGGATTGTGGTTTAAGTGGTGGTGTTGGATTGAATTTTGGCCTCTAGAATCAACCGGAATTTGGTCGGAAAAATCAATTTAAGGTCGAATTACAAGGGTATATTTGATTTCAAACTTATAGGGACTGCATTGTAATTTTCAGGGGTATGTTTGTAAGATTTTAAACTTGCTGGATCACAGGATCAACTACAGGTCAGACCGGCCAACCTGGTACCCGACCCCTTGGCCAGGTGACACCTCTGGTCGGGTTTCAGAACCTTGATAATAATAATAATAATAATAATAATAATAATAATAAAATGAGCTTTTGAAGTTCAAAGGGAAAAAAGCTTGACATGTTTTCTGGAAAGTTACTTGTTTAGGGCGCTTGTGCTTCTGCACGGCGCATTCTCATAGGAAGCACTTCCTGGAAAAGCTTTCGCAACTTGAATAAAAACAATTTTCATACAACATAAATAAAAAAACGACACCCAGAGAAAGGAATGCTGAAAAAACGATGTAATGGTCAAAAGATCTAACAAAATGATGCTTACTTGGCATTGACAAAGAAACCTTTGATAATTTACTATCATCGTAATATGTCAATATGATATATAGAACGGGAATAAATCAAAAGCATGACTTCTTCCAAGCATGCATCAGGCTATACATAATATATGTGACTCTGTATATACAGAACATTCATGCATGTACCTCTCCACAGCCTTCTACCTAAATTCTTGATCCATCCTTCCACGCCTTGCAACTTTGTGCACGTCGATGTTCATGTTGCTTACCTCTGTAGATATCTAGAACCGTTGACAAGCTTAGGATCTTAACTTGAATCCACGGGTTAGCATTTTTACCAACACGGGTACTACCTTATCTCCGGTAACATGAAACTCAATTAAGGCCGTATTTCTTTCAGAAATTTCTTTAATAATCTTTTACTTCAACTTAAGACTTCATCAGAAATGCTTGTATCTGTTCTACCTGTAGGGAACTAAGAATTTGAAGCACTGATTGCAAATCGCTTGGGAGATAATGAAATTGAGCCTAGATAGGCTTTGGATAGAGAAACTAAAAGCCGGTGAAAAGCCAGAGCTGAAGCCGTGACAAACATAACAAAGGAACTCCAGCAAAGCCTCAGCATCAATACTGGATCTCTCCTCACAGGGTCAAGTACCTTTAGAAAAATAACTTTGAGCCGTTTATCTCTCAAAAAGGATTGATAGTCATAGTTAGGTGTTGATAATCTGGAAGATGACCCTAAATCTCCATTATCAGCCCCATGTGCCAATGTCAGTTGGGAATTATTCTGAGTTACAGAAACCCTTGATCCAAGAGACTCAATCATCCATTGGTACAGTATGTTGGCAATAACCCTGCCAATTTGCTGGCGAAAGAAACTTGCTTCTTTGGAAACCATTGCTCGAATCAATGAAGCTCCATCCTGTAAATCAAAATGCAAACTGAATTAGAACTACAAAATGCATGATCCATGAAAGTGGTTCGTTCCACTTCCACCAATTGACTACAGTATTGTGCTTCATTCCCATTCAACCTTCATTCATCACCTACATTGTAATCATAGGTCCAGGCACGGAAATAGAATTGGAAAAGTGGCATTCAGATGAAATTATCCAATCCCCAAACTTCTAAGCCATATACATATTATCAGACGATAGATTTCCAAAAATCATGAGCTCATGTCTTTTTCTTGCCAGCAGGATCATTTAAAGAAACAGTAATATGATTAACAGGGTGATCTGAAATCCAGTTTCCGTGATACATATATTTCCATCACCAAGAAAAAAGATACGGTGCTCAGAAGCATATGGTGAAAATAAACATTAATTAAAGACAAAAATCCCAGCTGAAAGTTAACTCACTGCAGTCATTATGAGTCTTCTTAGCACAACGCCATCTTTAGATGGTAAAAGCTTCAGGACCAAATTCGCAACATCAGAAACACCAGCTCTATTTGGTAAATAATCAAGAGAAGTTTCATCATTTGATGCTACTACCTGTTGCAAGGCTTTCCTGCACAAATATATCACAGTTTAAGTGCTAACTTGTTTATGCAGAATAATACACTTAACAAGACAGGGAAATTCATGAGAGACAAGGCCAGCTTGCAGTTGTTAAACATGAAGGACGATAATAATAACGATTAAGGAATAGGGAAGATATTACAAGAAAAGACTTGAAAATTAAAAAAAAAAAGAACTCTGAAGAGTTATGTAATATGTATGGTCTTCTTAATTTTGAGACTGGAAGTAAAAAATATCCCTCCAATCACACCATTTGCTAGCTCAGCTGTCTAAAGCAGTGCAAAATGAAAACTATTTATAAGCTGACATTGCCTAAGCTACGGGCTTTCTGAAACTATTTGCTATAAATAGTGGAGTCGTGGATGCTTAGAAAGTTGAGGATGAAAGAAAAGTATAAAAAGTAGGTACATTGTAAATTTGTCCCAGAAGTGACCGTATGTTGAATATGGACAAAACTAAAATAACTTCAATATTGTTTGAAATGTATCAATAATCATTTTTCAGAGAAGATGTGAGCTAGTACAAGTTTCAGGGATATAAAAGCCAAAAATGAATTGCACAGAAACTTGCAGGCAATCATATGTGCTGCTCTAGCTGTAAATATAGCTTCAAGGAAGTTGGCATGTCAAAAACATTGGTGCTTTCCCTTCCAAACTAATTATTTAACAAGGCATTCTGTTGTTGACCAGGATAGAACGATTGTTAACCAGCGTCAAAGATAAAATATCTAAACTAACAATGATATATAAGTGTCTTAGAATGGGACTTCTAGCAAGAATATCAAATCATAAAAAACTATGCCAACTCCCATCTTCAATAAGAAAATGGTTCAGAACAAGAAAATCGCCATCTAAGGAAATTAGAGCTCTGATATTTATAGATAATTTCTACGAAGGAGGATTGAACCCCACAAGAGACTATCTGCATACCTTGTTGCACCTACTCTCAAGAAAAGGGCAAGCCTCTGCCACTGGAATTCCTTCCTTTTGTTAAAAACCACCTGTACAGACACAAATAACATAAACAAACAATAAAAGAACTCAAAACTTGACTTCGGACTTTTCCTCAAAACTTCAACGGCAGCGAGAACATTGGTATTCTAAAAAGCTAGCACAATCAAAAAAGTGAATGTAGGATGTACTTCCAACAGTATAAATTCAGCATCAATACATTTCACCCTCCACAAAATAAATTCTGCATCGATACATTTCGCCTTCCATAAATAAATTCCATAATGCTTGTGCATCTGAAACCCACCAAGAAATTACTTAGGCTGGAAGATCACTGAATAGCCTCCTCTATGCTAGAGATTCTCAAGCAGAAAAGTCTCAGTGCAAACATTTTGGGTGACAGCTCTTTGAGACCCATCCAACAGAAAGCTTTAGCTTCCCACAGGCCCATCACCTCTATCCTCCTAAATGAAGCTAAATTTTCTCTTCTTATCAGTTTTTATTGCTAATAGTTATAGTAACTAGCATCAAATACTGAAGTCATATTAATGCAGAATAATGTAATATATCTACTGAGAAACCAATGTACTAACAGAGTTTGTTACCGAATGTAAGATTTTTCTTGTATCAGCAGAATTTTCAGTGAGTAATTTCTGAATAACAAAAGGGTAGGCAGCTTCAAATGTCTTGAAATTTGGATCTGCGGCTACTGCCAAACCTGAGAGGAAAAGATGGAAAATTTGAATTATTATTTAAAGTAAAAAAAAAAAAAAAAAGGCTCTTCGAATTGTTGATTTATTGCCAGAGATGGCCAAGAACCACCAGCTCAAATTTGTTTGTCAAACAGGACAGTGCTGCTTCAAATTACGTTTGCAAAAGAAGTTCCCTTTTTCATGGATGAAAATGAAAACTGGATTCATGTAATAGGATAAAGGTATCACAAAGAAATACAGTTAATTCTTCATTGTCTGGTTTGTTCTTAAGATTCATCCACCTTCTATCACCAACCTTGGCCCTTCCATAGGAGATTCCTTTGATGATAATAGTGAACAAGATAATAATAGTTTCTATCATATTTACTAATAAAGAAAGCTGATTGCACATCATCATAAAGTTATGTCACATACTTTATAAGTTTTTATTGAAACTGCTTCTTGTCACCCTTACTGTTTTTTAAACCACCCTCACTTTCATGCAAATGCTTATGACTTCTATAATTCCATAACCAAATGAAAGGAAAATTATTACAATAGAAATTGGATCCTACAAATATTAGAAATCAGAAGCAAATGGGAATGAAAGAATCTGACCACTGATAAACTTACCTTCCAAGGAAGCAAGTGAGCGCAGGACAAGCGTATAGTATGGAGGCATGCGGAACTGATACTTGAGGGCTACAGACCATATTTTACTCAGAACCTTCAAAAACAAGAATTTGTCCGTAAATCTCAGATACTTGCATAGATAAGCACAATGAGAGTTCATACATAACACTTATCCTCAAACATAATTCTTGTTTATTAGGGTGTTAGATTGAAATGTCCATAACGTTTGCCTGCTTTAAATTCAGATCCCTCCTCTTGAATGATATATTCAAAATTTCAAAGTTACATGGATGCATTAAAAGAAGAAAAACACAGATGTGCTGCTGCTTCTAAAACTCAAAAGCACAAAAAATGAGGTTTAGAATAAAACTGAATGGACCAAGTACAAAAGGTCTAGAAAGAAAGTCAACACAATTGGAAGCTCAGCGCACGGATTACATATTATTAAAATTCTCAATAATCTTACTGCCATGCCTAATAACAAGAATATTGATTTTCATAATCATGTAATTATGTAAGAACATGTGTGTGTGTTTGGGAGTTGGGGTGGTAGAGGGTACCCTAAAGAGCAGATAGACTATATTTCAGGAAAATTTAGGTCAAAGTGGACCTCTCTCCTGACTAATACATAAAACCAACAAAGCCAAAAAAAAGTTGCACCCATTACACCATTACAGAACTTTCTGTGACTCTGATATTGAAACTGGCATTAAGGTTGTCAACAAGACATGAGTGCTACAAACAATCAATATTCTCAGAAATAATTCTCACCCTACTGAACTTGACATCAGGAATTCCATCATTAAATTCTACCTCTTCCAAAGAATCTTCCAGGTCCTGAAATATTTTCAAATCTCAAACATTTAGATTCATTAAATCTCAAAAGTTCTAACCTAAGAAACAATAATACACACTTTGCATGACAGTATTTAATATTAAGCAAATGATTGTCTGCTAAAATTTGCAATGGGTCACAATATGTAACAAAATTAAATTATAAGAGAAGATAAAAATACCATGGTAATGCGTCTTATATTAGACCCTGGCCTTACAACATCCATTTCAGTCAGAGCAAGAACCAGGGATTGCCAATCTCCATTTACTATATGTACTATGGAAGCAAGCATGGCAAACTGATGCTTCTTTTCCATCCGACAAAGCAAACCAAAATCCAAAAATCTGTCACATATCAGGAAATAACTGATAACTTAAGCAGGCATGAAAAAAAATCAGTTATGGAAGGTAGGAAAATAGCAGTACCCCATTTGTCCAGATGAAATGTAACGCAAGTTTCCAGGATGTGGATCAGCATGCAATAAGCCAGTTTCAAGGAGTTGAACAAGAGATGCCTCCACTCCTTTGTTAACCTAGAAAAATTGAATTACAGGGATCAATTAATGAATTGCGAATTAAATATGGCTACGTTATACCCCTGACCACAAAAACTAACTTTTTTTTCGATAAGACCATAAAAATTAAAAGACCACATGATATCGTCAAAACCACAAATTCAATGATAAAAAAAAATTACATTTTCAACAATCACACAATTGAACTCGCTTTTGGGTCATAGCCTCATATGAACTAATTTGGGTCAGCTGCACAAATCTTGCTTGAAATTTTACCATCCAGAAATTACCATAAAATTTTAGAGAAGAAAAGATATCATGTTGGCAATGTAGCTTAATTCTACATACCAGATCAAGAAGACGCCTTTTTGCCTCCAATTTCTGCCTCTCAGAATATGTTGAACTATCACCAGTAGATATAGAGAGTAAATCAGTTGGACTCTCACCAACCATCCACTCCATTGTTAAAACCCTCTTTCTAGTCAAATGTGGAAAAACTTTTGGTACACGAATAAACGGAAAAGAGGAATGAGCTACCTGTAGACAATTATTAAACAGTTGTGAAAAACAAGAATTCAAGAGCAACATATCCAGGAATTCCCTGGACATATAAAGAACTGTTATATGCCTTCTTTTCTTTGGCAAATAATTATGTCTCTTTACAAATGAGATAGCTTTATGATTATTAAAAAAAAAAAAACAGATGAATTCTTTCTTTCAGTTAAATCAAAACTATCTACTTTGGCTGAATTTAAAATAATGAGCATTTAAGACAATGTCAGTTTTCTAAGTGAAAACATAACCATTTCATGCCAAACCCAGCAGAGAAGATCATTCTACTCAGCTTGCCCCACATCAAAACATCACTGAGATCTTAACTCTGAAACAGCTTTTATTGATCAAAAGCTTTTCAAAAAAATAGAGACAAAAAAGGGCCGGTGTAGTATAAGACTAATTAATAGATGCCTTACCAAATTCCACACATAAATCCACCTCCATAGTGCCATAAATAGTAGACAGTAGAGGAAGACTGAATTATTATGAAATATGAGTAACATTATTAAACCTTTTTTATCATCTATCAATACAAACAAGCAATTATGGACTTTGAAATGAATACCTGAAACTCAGAAGCATTTTCAGCCTCTAATGTGTAATCCAACTCCCCAACTAAGCCTTTTCCAAGCTCATCAGCATATAGGCGAAGATCACTTTTCCTCTTTGCTATCTTTTGCACTAACCCAAGCTGCAAAACATGACCAGGAAATTATTTAAGATGTTAGTATTAAAGCATTAAGAGAAATAAGATTAGTAGTGTTCAGAACAAACCCCGAGGCGAAGAATATAAACATCTCGAACGACAACATGTCGTAAATTAGGACGTTGAACTTTCACGGCTACACTTAAACCTTCAAGAGTGCTTCCACGATAGACCTAATACAAGTTCCATATAATAATAAGAACCAACCAGAAATTAAAAAGTTCCAACCAGATCCACATTTTTGCATATATGATATTAATGTACATTAGTTGATTAGAAACCCACCTGACCAAAGGAAGCCGCTGCCACTGGTTCTTCAGAGATGTAGCTAAAGAATAATTCAACTGGAGAACCTAATTCTTCCTCGATTATTTTCATTGCTATAGCTCTGGGGAAAGGAGGGATTTGATCATGCAGTTCAGATAATGCCTGCAAAAAAAAAAAATTAAAAACAATCTATGAGTTGAAATTCATCATACAGTAACACTAAATATGGAAAAGGTTAAATTAACCATGATTCAAGTACAATAATATATCTAGAACTATTATTGAAGTACAATTATTAATGCCAAGCACTTAAGAAGACTGGCATACATCTAGTCTACACGTAAGTAACAACATATCAGATTCTAGCCATACGCATCAATGCAAAACAGTGAAACAGCTGAGACTCCCAGAAAATACATTTTGTCCACATACAATAAGACAACTTAATTCGAAGATTGTTCTTATTACAACTCAAATTAAAAAGATAACTAGTCATTTGACCAGATGAGAATTACATAGAAATATATAGAAGTGTACCAAAGAGGTGAAAAGGAAAAGAACAATTAGCTTTTGTTCATTTCCAGGACCCATGACAGATTACATCTTCATAAATATCTAAGAGCCGAAACACTTGAATATTATTGAAAGAAGAAACAGACATGCATAGTAAGAAGAAAAATGTCTTTCACTGAACCTTGGAAATATCAGAGCCGATAATATCTGGCCTTGTAGAAAGAGACTGACCAACTGCATTACCAAGCAAAGGCATGTAACTAGCATGTTGGTAATCTTGTGACTGCAGGAGAAAAATAAAATACCGAGCATATAATTGAAAGAGAAATGTGGGGAAGTAGGAGAAATTAAAACAAAAACGCATCAAAAAAATAAGAACTGCAACTTAGTTTTTTTTAAATTGTTCAAGCATATCACATTCCTGACCTTTGATAAAAGTAGGACCCAGATTTAGCATTGTTTCTTTCAACACCATCCCAAAATTGTATTGTGAAAGCTTTCCATCAATGTCCTTCTCTGCATTTGATCTCAAAAACTTTCTCATTCCTGAGGTTCGAATTCTGATTGCAGCAGATAAGAAGCAAACACCAACCTTCCAGAACAGAATAATGTCAATGTCATAAGTATCTACTTCACAAAAAAAACTGCAACCTAATAGTTAATACCTTACAGTATTATCAAAGAACTAGAGAAAAAAGGCACACCAATATCATTATTACAATATGTTAGTAAAACATTAAAATGTTTTAATAACCTCAAGAAGTCGAAGGGCCACTATATGAGGCCTGCAACTGAAATAATCAACAACATCCTGTGGATTGTAGACTTCTGGAAGTGGTTTTGACCAAATCTTGGACAGATAGTAGAAATAACTTGCATATGCTTCCAATGCTTTAAGATCAGCCATGAACAAATCCACACCAGAGAGTCCTGTCAAGATGTTCAATAATGCGACACACAAATCACTTTTGGCTACATGCAAAACACCTACCAGTTTTTCATATATATTTTATATACAGCATCAGACATATCGACTAATGCCAGCCCTCAGGATTTTTCTTAGGTTGAGAATGCCCAATAAATTTCAACTCAAACAAGGCTTTTAGACAAGTTTCATATAGCTATCATGCAATATCTATAAAATAACAAAGTATTATATTAATCCAGTTCCATAAAATCTTGCTAAAACTTTAAAAGCTATGACATCCTTGATGATTGTTCTGTACCCTAATCGGATTTGCAAATCAATACTCTAGCACTAAATTTGATTTTCTGCCGAAAATATTTCTCAAGAGCTACATTTGAATTTGAAGAAATAAATCAATTCTCATGTTTATTCCTCAAATATGTGACAAATTAAATAAGACTCTCACTTTGCTCCATAAGAGAACTTTTCTTTGTGTCAGTTCACAACCTTTAAATTAATTTTCAACAATCTCCAACTAAAAAGAAATGAACAGACCACATATCAGTACCAATGCCTCCCAATATGTTAAAAACTCCCGTGTACACAATAATAAAGTCATTATAGGAAGTAAAGTTGTTCATCTTAGAGTGAGCAAAAGTAGCCATCCGGCCACAAGTAAACTCTTAATACAGTGTATTTTCACCACTTTACGATGTATAACTACCTAAGCCTAATACAACAGCACCTAAACCGGGCATTAAGTCTATGGGGAGCGGCCACGTCAAACTACATTAAATATAGCAAACTCATTATAAGGCCGGCTACATCAGCCACCAAAAAATCTAGATATCTAACAATAATACTAGTACTACTTAGTAAATTTTGAATTTTGCATTGGATTGAACTACCTTGACAATATTATACTGTTCATCAATATATCTAGCCATCTATTGTATTGGAACATTTGGTAATCATTTTCACATAATGAAGCTAGACCTGGATAGGAAGGCTTTGGCCAATCACAAGGCTCCACCGGAGCTGCTTGAGAATCCTCGAGATTCCGAAGCCAGAGAACATCGTCTAGAGTTTTTGAAACTTGAGGAATGTGAAATGCCTCATTTGCCCACTCAATTCCTCTACTGATTCCTTTCTTCAAGAACTGCAAGTCCTTGCGAACTACTTCACCAAAGTGACTAAAATTCCCAATCACTCTCACTTGTTTCCGCACCTTGCTCCTCTTCGGCGTCGTTTTTGCAGCTCGCGGAGAGCGCAGTGCCGTTAGAGACGTCGAAGCTGACGCAAATGCCAAAGCCATTTCAAAAAATGGCTGCTGTATTGATTCGAAATATTATTATTTATTTATGCGATTGGTTGTGGTTTCGGAGAAGAAGAAGGAAGGAAGAAGGAGAAAAGGCAAGTGGCGTGGACTAGTGTGACGCGTGAAGTTGTTGTGTGGCTATGGTGATTGGTGAGAGGGGAAGGAAAGCGTTGAAAGAGTCCACCGCTTCATAGTGTTTTCGCGTGAAAAATGTGAATTGGAGTATAGTAGATGGGTTTTACCGCTTCGCTATCTGGACCGTTTGATGAGACTCTATAAGATTGTTGAACATGCACCTTTTTCTTCCTGAAACATCCAAATGAAATGTTTTGTGCATGTAACATCAGAGATTCGTAATCACAGTACAATATCTACATCAGCATCAAAATAAGCTAGCCTAAATTAAAAATCTATCTCTAGCAAATCAATGAGAATTTAGATGTAAATATTAGATACTTAACTAATAAATTAAATATTTTCTTTATAAAAATTAAAATTACTAACTTCAAATTTTTTTACATATCATTTTCTTTAATTATTTGGGTTAAATTATTCAAATCAACTCCAAAAAGTTTCATAAACCACAATCTAAAATGTTTTTTACATTCTAAATTTACTCGTTTAAAGAAATTATGATATTTCTTTTTAAATTAAGATTTTTTTTTTTTGTTAACATATTGATCACAGTGTTATTTTTTTTTTTTTTTGAATTTTGCACAGAGATTTGTAATCCATGAGTTAGGCCTTTCATCTTGGAAACCTTGCAAAAAAATGTGCTAGAGTTGTGGGGGAGGTTAGAATTGGTACTAGTGAACTAACACACTATTTACATTACAGGCTATTGTTGATCTTGCTATCATTATTTCATTTACATTCTTTTAATTATTAATAAGCGTTTGTTCTTTGGTTTAAGGTTCCACACGAAGATACTACTGTATATAAATCCTTGGTTTGAAAGACACAAGTAAATGATGGATAAAACTTAAAGGGTTGGTTTAACCGTCAAGAAGGTTTGCTCACTTCCTTGAATTACTAGGTTCAAATCTTGGATCATCTATCACAATAATATTATGGTTCATGTGCCGAGTTTGAACTTCCCAATACTTGACTCGAGCAGCTCTAGAGCTTACCCGTGCTTGACATATGTTAATGCTAAATGTTAATAAGGCATTTTCTTCTCCCTTGTTCTCTTGTTCTCTTTTATCTCCGTTTTCTCTCTTTTCTTCTCCCTCCTCCTCTCAACATTTTCTTCACAAGATTATATTTATTCAGGTAAAAACTAAGATCATAAATGTCTTTCAGGCAATTTAATAGGTAAAAAGCTTATATACAGAGAGCATCCTGGTGGATTTCTCTCTTATTGTTGTAGGAAGAAAGAAGATTATGGTTTATATCCTTGCAAATTACATTTTCAAATGGCAATGGACGCCCAATATTACTTACTTGTCCCTTTTATATTTTTCAAAGTAATTAATATTTTTGTGATATTTGCCTATCTGGCAGTGTCACTCATCCTCCACCACAAACCCACATGATATCCAACATGGGCACAAACTGGATTAACAATCCTACGTGGCCCAATTACAAATCACAATCACAAATCCTCAGCCAATGACAATCCACTTTCAGATTTGCCAATATCCCACCACACTTTACTTCTTCTGCAACTCATCCATTCTTTAACTCCCTCCCTTTCTCCATTTCCATCATCACCACTCTCAGAAAATCAACAAAAAGACTCTACTTTCAAGTTCTGAGAATGGCTTCCAATACATTAATGAGCTGTGGCATTGCCACCACCGCCTTTCCTTCAGTCCTCTCCTCTTCTAAATCTAAGTTTGCCACTGCCGTCTCACTTCCTAGTTCTAGTGCCAATGCTACTTCACGCTTCTCCATGTCTGCAGACTGGATGCCCGGCCAACCCCGCCCGCCTTACCTCGACGGTTCAGCTCCTGGGTAATAAGATTAGCTCTAGATGGTTTGATTATTTGAACTTTATGGTCTTTTATTATTATTATTATTAGTCTTAACATTTTTGTGTGGGGTTTTTCTTGACTTTTGTGTTTCAGTGACTTTGGATTTGACCCATTTCGGCTCGGTGAGGTTCCTGAGAATCTTGAAAGATATAAGGAGTCTGAACTCATTCACTGCAGATGGGCTATGCTTGCTGTTGTAAGTTTCCATCTTTTATCTTAAAAGGTTTTGATTCATGGTATATGTGTAAACATTCGAAAACCAAACACAAAGTATCTGAATTTACATGAAATCAACTGATTCTAAGTGCTGATCCGTTCCAATTTGATTGATTCCTTAAAATTTTTGCAGCCAGGGATGCTGGTGCCAGAGGCGTTGGGATTAGGCAACTGGGTAAAGGCTCAAGAGTGGGCTGCAGTTCCCGGTGGACAAGCAACTTACTTAGGAAACCCAGTTCCATGGGGCACTCTCCCCACCATTTTGGTCATTGAATTCCTCTCCATTGCCTTTGTTGAGCATCAACGCAGCATGGAGAAAGACACCGAGAAGAAGAAGTATCCCGGAGGTGCTTTTGACCCCTTGGGATTCTCCAAGGACCCCCAGAAGTTTGAGGAGTACAAAGTTAAAGAGATCAAAAACGGTTAGTAGTAGCCGCGTGACCGTTCTTATGGCACATGTTAAGATCACTCATAAAGATTAATTGAATCATATGTAATTTGGTGTGTTAATTTGATGTGTAGGTCGGCTGGCATTGTTGGCATTCGTTGGGTTCTGCGTTCAACAATCGGCTTATCCAGGCACAGGGCCATTGGAGAACCTGGCAACTCACTTGGCTGATCCATGGCACAACAACATTGGAGACGTTATCATCCCCAGAGGGCTTTTGCCTAACTAATCTTTGATCCATGTCCACTGTAAAATTTCATGTAATGAAACAATTTTCTTGTATTTTGACTCTTAAGATTAGAAGTAATTCTCTACCAATCACTTGTAATATATGAGAATACTGTGGAAATTACTACTAACTATTATGGTTTATGGATTAGTATCATTCACCTTCAACAATTCGGTCGAAAATCGCATAAATCAAATCAAAAGTCCTCATAAACCTCCCTGAATATGAAACGTTGTATTATACCTAAAGCAAAAATATGAAATTAGATTTTATTAATGGATTAACTATCAACTTTGACAGGACAATTGTGTTCATCAATCTATAAGCAAGTACAGAAACCCCCATCGGAGCATTTGGCACCATTGAACTTATCCTGCATTTCCTGCTTGCAAATTTCAGTGCAAGTATCTTCAGTGCATGGGACACTTGGATCATCTGCAATATCTGTTAACACACGAAGATGATCAGGATGAACGGCGGCAGGATTGACAGCCTCTGAAATCAAGAATGTCAAGGCCAACAAGCCAAAAACAAGAGTGATCACAGCCAATGAGACTCTTCTTTGCTCCATCGAAAACAAAAACAAGCTACCTTGTGTGAGACTGAGTTTTTACGTAAAAGTTTCAAGGATTTGGGTTTATATAAAAATTGGTCTGTGCTTTATATGTCAAGGATATCTTGTTTATTAGTATCTTCGAAATCTAGCTTTTCAGTTGTTGGTTAATATCCTCAGAGATATTGGTAATTAATAAGCAACCCAAAGCAATCTTAATACTACATTTTCCTTTATAAATTACCTTTTATAAACATCAAGTGAGATCTTTAAAATTTTATACCATTTGAGAAAATACTTTTCTAGATACTCTAGATAACAAACATTTTTCTAGGCAACACTTTTCTAGATAACCCGGTCCCCAGAGTTATTTCTCGGGTGTACATCCGATCCGGGTCTAGACCCCATGGGTCTACCCGGACTCCGGTTGTTGCCTATAAAAACCTGATGGGAATCCCAGAAAACAAAACCATTTCTATTCTTAAAAGAAAAAAAAACGGAAGTAATTTTTTTGTTTGCAATGGAAGCAGGGAGAGTAGCCATGCGAGTGAGTTTGATCTTAGCTCTGGTGATGTTGATTTCCATGGCCAGTGGACCAAAGCCAGCGGAAGCAACTCGCATAGTGGTGGAATGCAAGCAACCTGACTGCTTCCTAATGTGTTATAATGCATATAAGAACAAACTTATTCAAGCACAGTGCAGGCCTACAATTTTTGGAAACCTTTGCATTTGCTTCCATAATCCCTAAAATATATACTACTATTGATTGTAAGTCCATTAACCAAAAGGAATAAAATTAAAATAATTATTGCATAGACTGTCTTTCTGTTTATATATCTTAGGACTCTCATCCCTTAATTACTACAAAAATGAAAAATATTGTATATTCAACTTTATCTGAATGCAAACATATCTCATATCCTGTGTAATGTTACAAGATTTGTCGCCAAACCTCATATCTCATAGAGACCTCTTCTCTATTTTTGTGTACATAATGTATGTAACAAGAGTTCTATAATTAGGATCGAAAAGAACGTGATTACTAGTGAATTATGCAGGCGTGGCGAGGAAGAAGATACATCTGTGACTGTGAAGAAGAAGGAAGAAAAACATTAATCTCTCGTGAACTGGAAAAAGAGAACTTTGGAAAAAAAAAAAAAAAAAAGGATTACCTTGTATTGGATTTAGAGTAGATGGGGTGACCTCAGGTTCTGGATTATTTAGTTCTTGTATTCTCTGTGAAATGGAAGCTGATTTTCCAAGGTAAGATCTTGTGAGTTTCTTGACGGCTAGAAATTCCTGAGTACTACAATAGAGTCAAGAGTTTGCCTTAGTGTATAATTGAATTTTCTTTCTAGTAAGCATAAATCAGGATTAACGAGTTGAAGGAAAAACAAAAATTGTGACCAGAAATATTGAAGTCTATTACCTTGGACTAAGGAGCTGGGTAAAACGGCCGCTGTTTCCTTCATAAAGAGCATTGATCTTAGTAGCATTTGTCAATGTTTGCAGAACGAACAATCTCTTCTTGTTTGGGATAGAGTTGCTCGCCATAATCACATTCGCAGGAACAGTTCCGAATCTGATTTGAATAAGTTTGCCACTGCCGTCTCACTTCCTAGTTCTAGTGCCAATGCTACTTCACGCTTCTCCATGTCTGCAGACTGGATGCCCGGCCAACCCCGCCCGCCTTACCTCGATGGTTCAGCTCCTGGGTAATAAGATTAGCTCGAGATGGTTTGAGTGTTTGAACTTTATGGTCTTTTATTATGATTATTATTATTGTTAACATTTTTGTGTGGGGTTTTTCTTGACTTTTGTGTTTCAGTGACTTTGGATTTGACCCACTTCGGCTCGGTGAGGTTCCTGAGAATCTTGAAAGATATAAGGAGTCTGAACTCATTCACTGCAGATGGGCTATGCTTGCTGTTGTAAGTTTCCATCTTTTATCTTAAAAGGTTTTGATTCATGGTATATGTGTAAACATTCGAAAACCAAACACAAAGTATCTGAATTTACATGAAATCAACTGATTCTAAGTGCTGATCCGTTCCAATTTGATTGATTCCTTAAAATTTTTGCAGCCAGGGATGCTGGTGCCAGAGGCGTTGGGATTAGGCAACTGGGTAAAGGCTCAAGAGTGGGCTGCAGTTCCCGGTGGACAAGCAACTTACTTAGGAAACCCAGTTCCATGGGGCACTCTCCCCACCATTTTGGTCATTGAATTCCTCTCCATTGCCTTTGTTGAGCATCAACGCAGCATGGAGAAAGACACCGAGAAGAAGAAGTATCCCGGAGGTGCTTTTGACCCCTTGGGATTCTCCAAGGACCCCCAGAAGTTTGAGGAGTACAAAGTTAAAGAGATCAAAAACGGTTAGTAGTAGCCGCGTGACCGTTCTTATGGCACATGTTAAGATCACTCATAAAGATTAATTGAATCATATGTAATTTGGTGTGTTAATTTGATGTGTAGGTCGGCTGGCATTGTTGGCATTCGTTGGGTTCTGCGTTCAACAATCGGCTTATCCAGGCACAGGGCCATTGGAGAACCTGGCAACTCACTTGGCTGATCCATGGCACAACAACATTGGAGACGTTATCATCCCCAGAGGGCTTTTGCCTAACTAATCTTTGATCCATGTCCACTGTAAAATTTCATGTAATGAAACAATTTTCTTGTATTTTGACTCTTAAGATTAGAAGTAATTCTCTACCAATCACTTGTAATATATGAGAATACTGTGGAAATTACTACTAACTATTATGGTTTATGGATTAGTATCATTCACCTTCAACAATTCGGTCGAAAATCGCATAAATCAAATCAAAAGTCCTCATAAACCTCCCTGAATATGAAACGTTGTATTATACCTAAAGCAAAAATATGAAATTAGATTTTATTAATGGATTAACTATCAACTTTGACAGGACAATTGTGTTCATCAATCTATAAGCAAGTACAGAAACCCCCATCGGAGCATTTGGCACCATTGAACTTATCCTGCATTTCCTGCTTGCAAATTTCAGTGCAAGTATCTTCAGTGCATGGGACACTTGGATCATCTGCAATATCTGTTAACACACGAAGATGATCAGGATGAACGGCGGCAGGATTGACAGCCTCTGAAATCAAGAATGTCAAGGCCAACAAGCCAAAAACAAGAGTGATCACAGCCAATGAGACTCTTCTTTGCTCCATCGAAAACAAAAACAAGCTACCTTGTGTGAGACTGAGTTTTTACGTAAAAGTTTCAAGGATTTGGGTTTATATAAAAATTGGTCTGTGCTTTATATGTCAAGGATATCTTGTTTATTAGTATCTTCGAAATCTAGCTTTTCAGTTGTTGGTTAATATCCTCAGAGATATTGGTAATTAATAAGCAACCCAAAGCAATCTTAATACTACATTTTCCTTTATAAATTACCTTTTATAAACATCAAGTGAGATCTTTAAAATTTTATACCATTTGAGAAAATACTTTTCTAGATACTCTAGATAACAAACATTTTTCTAGGCAACACTTTTCTAGATAACCCGGTCCCCAGAGTTATTTCTCGGGTGTACATCCGATCCGGGTCTAGACCCCATGGGTCTACCCGGACTCCGGTTGTTGCCTATAAAAACCTGATGGGAATCCCAGAAAACAAAACCATTTCTATTCTTAAAAGAAAAAAAAACGGAAGTAATTTTTTTGTTTGCAATGGAAGCAGGGAGAGTAGCCATGCGAGTGAGTTTGATCTTAGCTCTGGTGATGTTGATTTCCATGGCCAGTGGACCAAAGCCAGCGGAAGCAACTCGCATAGTGGTGGAATGCAAGCAACCTGACTGCTTCCTAATGTGTTATAATGCATATAAGAACAAACTTATTCAAGCACAGTGCAGGCCTACAATTTTTGGAAACCTTTGCATTTGCTTCCATAATCCCTAAAATATATACTACTATTGATTGTAAGTCCATTAACCAAAAGGAATAAAATTAAAATAATTATTGCATAGACTGTCTTTCTGTTTATATATCTTAGGACTCTCATCCCTTAATTACTACAAAAATGAAAAATATTGTATATTCAACTTTATCTGAATGCAAACATATCTCATATCCTGTGTAATGTTACAAGATTTGTCGCCAAACCTCATATCTCATAGAGACCTCTTCTCTATTTTTGTGTACATAATGTATGTAACAAGAGTTCTATAATTAGGATCGAAAAGAACGTGATTACTAGTGAATTATGCAGGCGTGGCGAGGAAGAAGATACATCTGTGACTGTGAAGAAGAAGGAAGAAAAACATTAATCTCTCGTGAACTGGAAAAAGAGAACTTTGGAAAAAAAAAAAAAAAAAAGGATTACCTTGTATTGGATTTAGAGTAGATGGGGTGACCTCAGGTTCTGGATTATTTAGTTCTTGTATTCTCTGTGAAATGGAAGCTGATTTTCCAAGGTAAGATCTTGTGAGTTTCTTGACGGCTAGAAATTCCTGAGTACTACAATAGAGTCAAGAGTTTGCCTTAGTGTATAATTGAATTTTCTTTCTAGTAAGCATAAATCAGGATTAACGAGTTGAAGGAAAAACAAAAATTGTGACCAGAAATATTGAAGTCTATTACCTTGGACTAAGGAGCTGGGTAAAACGGCCGCTGTTTCCTTCATAAAGAGCATTGATCTTAGTAGCATTTGTCAATGTTTGCAGAACGAACAATCTCTTCTTGTTTGGGATAGAGTTGCTCGCCATAATCACATTCGCGGGAACAGCTCCGAATCTGATTTGAAATGTACACAACTTCAGAATCATATTTGACTTAGGAAATTAGAACTCTGCTTTTCTTTTATAAGTTTCAAATTGCAGGACTTACGAGCAAGATCCAGGATAACCATTGATTTCTCTGCAACCCCCTTGCGGACAAAGATACCTGCATTTCATAAAACAAAGAAAACATTCTTCAGGGAACTAAATTTTCCCGAGGCAACAATTAATCAAGCACCATTCAAACTGGAAACATTAATATAAACATACATGAAATCTCTAAGTGACTTTGTCGACCAAGACTGATTATTCGGCCCCTCCCTGGAGAACAACAATGCAGTATCTCCTTTCAGAAATGCAATATCTCCAAGTCCCTCCACCAGGCATCTAAACGCTCCCGCTTCTCCAGAATACAAACTATTTGTATCATGGCATGTAGTACCATTTTCATTTCCGCATCCACTACACAGACCATCATCAACTCCTTCCAATTCAGAAGGCGCGCAAACCTTGGAGAAGAAACTCGATGCGATTTCATGGTCATTGATCGTTTTTCCTGAATCAAATAATGATTGTTTGATTTGGTTGATGGGGTAGTTCCAACCGGCTGCTGTGGAGTAACTTCCATGGCAAGATTTATGGCCCTGGAAAGAAATCAAGTTGATGCCCTCTTTCTCCTGGCAAGATTTTCTGTTTACTACTGCAACAGCATCATAAGTTTGAGCATGTCCACAGTAAACTTCATTTGCAATTGCTTTCATGGAGTAGTTCAGGAAGGCAGTGTAAGCTAGCCCTGCTTCTAGATTTATTATATCTGCTTCCCCTTTGTTTATTGAGTCTAGACAATCCTGAGTTGTGCCTCTTTTGACACTGCAATGTATAGTAATGTCTAAACTCTAAACATAAAATACAATTGAAAATATTGAAACACATTTACAATATAATCTAATAAAATATAATTTCTTTTTAGATTTTTCAATTCATTTATTTTATTAATGGGCAAATAATTGAATTTAGATTCATCATAACAGTATATATCTTTTGAAGAAATGAAAATTTAGATTCAAATTATAATTAATTACTGAGGAAATATGAATAATGGTGATTTATACATAAATTTTAATTTTAAATTTAATTATTAATATTTTTTAATATGGATGAGGGTGTTTTAGTCTTTGCATAGAAAATTCTATATAAGTTTACAGATTCAATTAACTACGATTCAAGATTTAACACACGGTTAACATTTTCTCTAAAAATCCAAAAATAAATTACCATTTCCACGTGTAGTCATCGGATTGGTCAAAGACACTGACGATATATTGACATTCCTCAAACTCTTCCCTCACAGTACACCACCTCAAATTCAATGTCTCCGATCCCGCCACAGCATCATCACCTGATTTCCCGCTTTCTTCCTCCTCCTCCTCCTCCTCCTCCGTCACCGGCACCGGAACCGGCACCGAAGAGTCAAATGACGGTGCTGGCGAGGGAATAAAGTTATGCGCTGAGGAGAAACTTTTGTCCAGTTGAGGGGCTGGAGATGGCGCCAAACCTACCGAGTTAAAAATTAAAGAAAAAAAGTATATAATAAGAGAATAATACATCACGCCATCCATTTCTATCCAATGACTTCCCATAAAAATAGAAGAAAATCTCACCGGATTTTGAACTTTCTTTGTTTTCTGTGACCGGCACTGGCGCTATATAATCAAAGGACGATTCTGGTGAGAAAGGATAGTTTTGGACAGACGAAAAAGATATCGTGTTGGATATGGGAGACGGCGACGGGGCGGAACCTGAGAAAAGAATGAGTATGAAAATTAAAGAAATTGAACAAATTATAAAATGAAAATTAATTAAAAAATTGATATGTGCACCATGAACTGTAGCGAGAAATAACGATGATGATAGAAAGAAAAGAAGAGCGGCTGAGATCTGCATGATCGGAGATGAGGAGGAGGAGGAGGAGGAATATCGTTTGTTGTGAGTCGTTGATTTGGAGGTGGTAGTGATGAAGTGAAGAGAGAGGGCATTGTGAAGTGTGCATGGTTTTGGGTTGATTTCATGTGAATGTGATTGGGAAGTTAACGTTAAGAGGAAGAAATGGTTAAGGGCGTGTACGTGTAAGATCAAAAGTGATTGTTATTAACTTATTGTTACAATAATGAATTTTGCGGCAACTTTACGTTCTTTGTCACGCAAGCAATGAGCTACCACATCATGTGGTGTGGGTCAAGATTCAAGAAGCTGGATTACACCAATCGAAAGATAAAGAAATAAATTAAATATCATTTTACATCTAGAGGAGACTCTCTATAACATAATCAGATTTCACATTATTTGATTAATAAATCAACAAACATTTTAGGTAGATATTTCTTTTAAAATTATTTATATTGATATAGTAATCTTTTTTTTTTTATGATAGAATATTTGGATCAATTTATGTGTATCTCAACTAATTCTCTGGGATCTTGAAACTACTTGTAAAGTAAAAACTCCAGTGACTATCTTATTAACAACGAAGGAGAAACTGAGTTTCGAATCACTCGATTATCGAAAGGTAATTAATAGAAAATTACTTAAGTTTTCACTGGAATATATGCCATTAATTTGTCTAATTTAAAAGAAAAATCAAGAAAATGATTTTTCAAAATTATCGGCGTGATTAGAAATTTAGAATCCCATTCTTTTCTTAAATAAATAAATTAAAAAAAAAAAAAAAACCTCGAACCTTCAACATGACTATGGGGGGAACAGATATTTACGTCAAAGAAGCAACGGGCCAATGGCGAGTTTTGACTTCTCCGTTTGACTAAATGAGTCCAGCATCAGTTCTAACTTTGCTCCGGCCCATCAATGGCAGTTTGGAACGCGATCGGGCCCATACGATGAAGCCCAAGGTCATTTTAAAGTTTTTTTTTAGCCCACAGTCTTTGTTGAAACATCCAGCAGCTTGTCTCATATAAGACAACAAAAGAGAGATGCTAAAATTAATCTTTTACATACTAAATAATCACAAAACTAATTTAATCGGTTATATCTTTAGAAAATGTAAGAAAGACATTAAAATGAAGGAAAATACTATACTTACCGATTCTGTATACCAATTCTCTCATCCCAATTGACATGGAATATAGTCTTAGCACAATTAAGTTTCACTCCACATCAATCGAGATAAAAAATCAGTATACAAAATCGATAAGTATAATCCTACTTTAAATTTCAGTTACATAGCAAATGAATTTAAATTCCCTGTTACTTACATAATAATATGATTAAACATTATTATATATGTTAGATTATTTACATCCAATAAAGTAAAATGTAACGAATATCGAAAAACTTATTTTGTGGCCAAACTTTAAAATGTAGTACAACGTAATTATCAAACCCACTAATCATGATTTGACTGGTAAGAAATAGAAACAGTACTACTGTACTAGGCATGTACTAATACAGCTTGTGCCTAATTAATACAGCTTGTCAAAAAATATAAAAATAATTAATTACTATTAACAAGTGCCTAATTAATTTATTCCTTGTACTTTTAATTGGGTAGAATAGCAACAAAATTTATGGACATAATGATGTGCCCCACCTGAACAATTGACAGCTGGGCTTCACGTTAATTTTCTTTCTCGATATATCAAATTTATTGGTGCCCAGGAGTTGTTTCTTGTTCCCTTTTGTTAATTTCCAAATTGCCATTTTATCATTACTATTTCTTCATCAAATATCTTCCCTTTTTTTTTTTTTTTTTAAATTTCGTCTAGGGTTTCCTCAAACATAAACTTACAAAGAGAAGATGGTTCTAGTACTAGTATAACATGCAACTTTAAAAATTTTCTAATAATAATTGTAAAATGGATATTTATAATATGTTTTTACTAATAATTGAATAACATAACTAACAAAATAAATTTAAAGATAATTAATATAATATAAAATTGATAATATTATTCACACTATACGTTTATTCTAAATTTCATATTCCAAATAATATGTCGCTATATAAATATTATCATATTATTCAATACATCATCACTTTATTTACACAAAATTTTACTTTAGTGAATCCGATATAAAGTTGGTGAACATCAAGTGAAGAACCTCTGCTTACTTTTTTAGACATGTTAATACCACATATGATAACATTATTAAGATATGGAATTTAAAATAAAATTTGGGAAAAATATTATAATTGATAAAAGATTTATTGATCGGACTCATTGTATACTAATAATTATATGTATTCTTTGTTGTTGTTAAGTTTATATGGACTAAGAGTATGAGATCCATACACGAAATATACAATACTCCACATCATTTCTATCATAATATGATTTTTTTTTTTTTTTTTTCATTTTGTGATGTCAAACTTAATCTATTGTTCACTTGTTCTGGGAAAAGTTTAGATTTCCACTAATTTATTTATTTATTTTATAACCAGCATGAGGCTATCATCCTAAAACCAATATAAATTTGTTACTAATATCATAAGATTTATGGTTTTCATTAAATATGGGTTAAATCCAATAACAATAATGGACTGGTTCACACTATTTTTTTGAGCAGTGAATTTCATACTGCATATGTTTGGGGATGGGGACTGTAGTACATGCGTGTTGATTGGGTTAAATTCGAGGAAGAAGGCATAAAACACTTAACATAAACATATATTAAAATTATATAATAATTTTATAAAAGCAATAGAAAGAGAAAAAGAGTAAAAATACTGGAGAGCACATGACTGTCTGCAGCTTCTCATCATCATCATAATTCTAATAGATACTTGCGTCAACGTGTTTCTGTGTGCAGTTCGAGGCATTATAGAAGAACAGAAGCCGTGGAAGAAATAGAAGAAGGGTTTGTTAATAAATATATGAATTTTAAAATAAAATTTTGAATTATCAGCAAAGTTAGAAGATAAATTAATAAAAGATTAATATTAAAGGAAGATGAAGCATTGAAAACGAAGATGAAGATGAAGGTGGGAGTTGGAGAAGAATCTAACCGTGAGACATTCACTTGGAAACAAACACCTAAAGAGAAGAGACCCCATGATGTTATTCTGACACCAGGATTCCCACACTTGTTCCTTCCAGCACTCTACACGATGAATATCATTGAAACTTTTTCCATTTTTAATACCTTGTTTCTCTCTTTTTTTTTTCTTTTTCTTTTTTTTTTTTTTTGTTTTCTCTCTTTGAACATTTGCCATTTTACACATATAAGGAAAGGAGAATTTTTTTTTCCTTTGCAGCTTTTTCTAGACATGGAAGATCCATCGCCCTCGATACACACACACTACTTCTCTCTCTCTCTCTAACTCTCTCTCTTTTCTATATAGTAAGATATTCATTTTCATTGTGTTTCATTTCAAGGGGGCATTTTTGCATTGTTATTCTCTACCCTACCACTCTATACCATTTCGAATATTGAAAAAATATTATTTACACAGCACCATGCTTTTGATTTCTTTCACTCAAGCTTTGTTTCATTTCCCTATTAGGGTTTTTTTCATTGTGCCCTAATGACCTTTCAAATACTAGAAAAAACCCCCTCGTCAAACTAATAATTGTTAATCAATTCCTAACTTTGAAACAAAAAAAAAAAAGAAAAAAAAAAGTGAATTGCTAGAATTAGAGGGTGTTGGAGTTAGGATCTATCTAGTAGTTTAAACTGTAGATCTTGAGTCTTGACAAGTAGATCTGTAGATCCCAAACCCCAGGGGGTGAATGGAAATATCTCTGTCCTAACCCTAACCCTAATCCCATGCACTAGCTTTCATTTTCATCAACCAACCCATATTGTTAAAGTATTATTTAATGGTTTGCATTCTTTTACTCAAGGTTTGTTTCATAATTTCATTTCCCTGATGAGGCTTTTTTAATAGCTTTCTTCTTCGACCCATATATAATTTGTCCATAGGGCATACAGAAGTTTTTAACTTTTGTGATGGTTTTATGTGTAGAAGTAGTATATGAAAAGGCTGTTTCTATCCCATTTTAGCATCTATTTAACTTTGATTACTAAACAAATATTTTGTTTTATAATGAAGTACCTGAAGTTGAGCTTTTTGATTAATTAGTAGAATTAATTAAATATGGTGGAAACTTTTAAAAACCCTACAAACTAGAGCTACCACTCATATCAAAGGATTCAATATTTTACAAGCAGTAGAGTTTAGGTTGAGTTTTTCTTCTTTCTTTTCCTTTCTGTTTTTCTGAATTGAAATGTCCTTTTGAGTATGTCAGATTGTGCTTGACTAGTTGCATTCACCAATAAATAGATTAGATTCTGATTAGCAGTAAACAAAGTTATTGAGCACGCATACAAACAGTGTAACTTAGGACAATAATTAACTGTAGTACTAGCGATATATATTAAAACCAGTTCTGGCTGGATCCGCCATTAATGATCGATGTTCAAAGCTTTAATTTGAACTCCATATATATCAGAATTATGAACCAAAAAAAAAAAGCTCTTTTAAGAGATTTTTTTTTTTAATTTCTCAGGAGATAATTAAGGGAGACTTATTCCTTAAGTCTTTGGCATGGAAAGAGATTCGCTTGCCCTTCCCTAACAGACAACAGTGGCTCTTTTGAATTTCTCATGCCTTTTGGCAAGGAGTTAGGGCAATAGGCCCTTGGATTTTTCCATATTTGAATAAAGGTTTAATTTTTTAAAGTACTTTTTGGATATTAATCATATTATGTTACTCGTCTCCTTCAGAAAATGAAATAGATTTAAGTTTCTCTATTGCGTCCATTTCCATTTTAATACGCTCATCATATATATTTCTTGTTCGTTTCTTTTGAAACTTTATTTTCTCTTTCATTAACTCTAGCTTTTTTTTATGCTTATATGATTACAGTTCTCAGAATAATTTTAATTACACAAAATGTTAAAGAATGGATCCAAAGAAATCTGAATATTCTCAGTTCAAAAGATATACGTTATCACATGCAGTGCTATCAGAAAAACGAAAAATATTTGGCAGGTAATAATACTTTTTAACAGTAAAATAGAGATAGAA